ATTGTTTCCTCTTCTTACTAGGCTTAGAACAAACTGCTTTAAGATCCACTGTCCTAAAAAAATGACTTATTATCCCAGAAAAAGAATCCCCACACAAGGAGGGACAGAGGAGTACAAAGAGCAGCAAGGTAATTTTAGTACTGAAGGGAAAGTGGCATGGGCCTCTGAAGAGTTACTACAATTCCAAATGGCATGACTGAAAGCTGCCTTAGCTTTTATCTTTATCTTTTCCTTTTTTCTACTTTGTATTTTCAACTTAAATTATTTACTTATTAACCTCTCCTCTTCTTTTGACCCTACTCACTGCAGTCTTTGTTCCATACTTCTATTTCTCCTCTTAATTCCTCCCATCTCACTTTCTGTTTTCGACCAGCACTTGTCAAACATTCCAACAAAAGCTCAAAGATGCTAAGTGATACTTTTTGATTTCTATTTCTCTGTTTTGGTCCAGAAACCTACCATCACTTTCAAAAGCATTATTCTGTAAGGCATACGTTTGGTGTGAACTCCTGACAAATGGAGTATGGCACTGGAGGAGATGTGCCAAATCCGTGACCAGCGGCATAAATATTTTCATACTGTTCTTAGGTGAAGCAAAACAAACAAACTTAAATTAAATGAGGAAGGAAGGGAGGAAGGAACAGATCTGCCAAGTTTTGAAAAGAGGTGATTTAATATCTCTAAGCTACAAGCCCCTTAAACATGGATTTTAATCTAAGAGTTGGCAGGCTCCCAGTGAAAGCTGTACAGCCTGTTTGGCAATGCTACAGCTCCTTCTTCATTTTGACACTTGATTCTTTCACCCTTTTTGCATAAGGTATTATAATCTTATGAGGACTGCTCCAACAGGTTTGTCCATTAGAGGGCATTAGAGGCCACTGAAATCCCTGAAGTTTTGCTTTAACTAGAGGAAAGGAAAATAGTTCTTTTTATTTTTGTCTGATAAGTTGTGGTTTTCGTATCCTTTCTATGCTATTCACCTTATCACCTTATCCAAAATGTGCTAGATGGATTTCAAAATAAGAAGAAACTTTTTCTAACAGATTAGACCATGGATTTGCTATATCATTCCGTGCCTCCTACTTTCTCCCTGACTGAACTAGGATCTGTTTAAATATGAACAGAGCAAGCAAATAAACTAACTAAATTATGATAATCACAGAATGATGAGTTATGCTGTAGAGAAGATAAGAGAGTCTACACAAAATATTCACACTGGAACTTTTTATCCCAGAAAGTCTATTCAGCACAGGGGCAGCACAGATTTAGCTAGCATAATTAAAGCTGTGGCAAATTATTTCACACAGTCAGTTTATAAATACTGCAGTTTGAAGGCAAATAATTCCTGTCGTAGTAGAAATCTCATCTGGATGGCAAAACACCAGGAGTTTAGTCTGTGACACTTTCGTCTGATATGAAGAAGTGCTACATTCTCAAGACATTGTAGTAAGAGCCCAAATATTCTAAAGGAAATTAATGCAGCAGAGTATTTTCTGAAATTGATGTTCATGCCATGAATTGTAAATGGATATAGATATATTAACTTAGGGCCTGCCATTTTGCTTTAGAGGGATAAAACACAAGCTGTTTGTCAAATTTCAATTAAAGACTGTTTATCACAATGATTCCCAATGTGTATGCTTATGTTCTAAAAACTTCACAGGAATGAGATCATTTTGTGTATCTACTTCTTTCCCGAGCAAGCAATGCCTTTCCCCGATATTACAGTTACTTGCAGAGGTTATATTACTTAAGTATCAAAAAATAATATTTTAATTGTTCTGGATGGACTAATCAGGTCTGCCTAGACCATCACAATGCCCCAAAGGATAATTCAAGGTTATCTCTTCCTCTTCCTGAAATTCCATTTCCTTACTTGTTTATCATACAACTGGGGTCAAAACAAGGGGAGATTTTACAGGAAAGGAAGACCAAATAGACCTTGTGACTTCAGTACTGACTGATATTTTCTGGCTTCTTCTGTGGATGATCTCATAGAAAGCGGCAGGACTCTTATTCATAGAAAGAAAGCTGGAGGTCTGGAACATCATTTGGATCAGACCAGCAGAGACAAAAAGGCAGAAGGAGCTGCAGGCTACTCATTAGCACTCTGTGCTCTTTCACTGCAAGGTGTCCTCATTAGATTCTATCTTTCAGGCAAAGTGATTATGCTTTACTTCCTAATTACATTGAAACAATTAAGCATTATTTTTCTCCTTTAAAGCAAATCAAGACTATTTTAAAGAGACCAGCTGTACTACTGCAAAGGTGCAGATTAACTCCTCACAGTGGATGCTCCTATAAATAGCACAAACGCTATCTCCTTCTCTTGGTTGTGCTGTATTAATTATTTTTTATGTATGTTCTTAATCTATATTTGTATCTCATATCACTTGTGTCTTACTGCAGCTTGGGACAGCTGCCTCTAGCCAAAGCTTTGGAGTGGTAGCAGTTCTACGACTAGCGCTTGGATAACATAGTTCCTGTAATAGGGAGTTAATAGGGCTATTTCAACCTCTGCCCACAAATAGAGTGTGTAGCTGGATGCTACACGTTCCCCTTTCAGCCTGCTTACAGACTTCACCTTCTTCTGTATTCTGCAGTGTGTGCTCTGCACACTGCATGCACTAGGAGCAATGCCCTTTCTGGGCAATGCCTCATCCTTACATCAGAATGCAGGATTCTTAGTAACATCATATTAGAGTGGCTTGAGTACTCTTCTTCATAAAGCTTTCCAGTACTTGTGATCAGACTGTACATATACATGTAGAATACAGGTGATCTAAATGAAGTAAGGCTGTGCCAAAGGCTACTCCCACCCAAACAAACCTGCTCAAGGGGTCTCATACAAATGCCCATTACTCAGGTGAACTGTGAAATTAAAATTAGTCTTGACTTGCTCAAGGACCCAATAAAATACTGGGCTTGACACTTTTTTCCCCTCATACTATATAAAATTTCCACTAACTTCAGGGGAATTATTCCTCATTTAGATCCACTGAGTTGAGATTATAATCATATCGTCTCAGAGCCACGATTTGCATTCAGTAACACCTGCACATCACTAAAGCACATCTGTCTTCACACAGCGTCCAAGGTCTAAGCTCTATTGACCATATAGTATTCACATCACACTCCTGCTCAGTTCAGTAATGACAAAATGATTGGTATCAGACACATATTTTCTTCCACAGATATGAGTCAATGGTTTAGCAAAGATCTGAATAAGTTCACAGTTGATCTATTTGTAGTGTTATTTTAGTTTACTTTAAACAGTCAGCAGGTAAAAATGCCACTGGATCACCC